TTCCAGTAGCAGTTGCTATGAGGCATAAATAGCAAACCATTTTAATTGATAAACATCTCACATCTGTTTTGCTTTAGCATCTGTAAAACCATTCTCACTTACAGGTATTTATCAGCTATGCACTTCCAAGACAGGAAAACTTTTTTTTATAATTAATACTAAACTTACAAATGTCTTTATTATTATGCCCCATCAATGAAGACTCATTCTGACTGATGTCTCTGGTAAATCACTCTGACTAGATGTCCTTTCTAATGGAAAAAAATTCAAATTCTTTCCTTTTAATCGATATTTCCTGAACAACTGAAGCTTTTCTACTTTTATCATAGCCCTGGAGGTTCATAACCCCGCTCCCTCTGTATTTCATTTTCTGCTTAAGTACCATGAAGGATGACAGGTTAGGAAAAAGACAGAAAGGAGATTCTATTTCTTCATGGACTTTTTATTTTTTTTTCCATCTTCGTTTATTAATTAACATTATGAAAACATATGTTTACTAAAGAAGCATTTAAGACATAGCTTATGGCCACGATTTTCAAAAGGGACCAATGATTCAGGGGTGCCTCAATCTTTGGAAGCCCTGCTTTTGAGATACTTTAAGGGGGCTAGATACGCAGAGACAGCATGCTCAGCATGTCCTAAAAATCAGAAGTTATTCAGGTGTCTCAAATGAGTACATGGAGTTCTAACTACTAAAATCAATAGTCTCTTCTGAAAATCCTGACTGTTCACATCTATGATTATTAGCTTGCATGATGCCAAGGAGGCTTAAATATAGTTCACAAACAATCTAGACCTTGGAAGTGTCCACGACTGATTAGTTGGAGGATGAAAAAAATAGTATTTCACAGTGACATACTGTAAGCAAAAGTGTGAGTGAAAATATGCTTGTAAAAACAACTTAAAAACAAATCCACTGAAGACGGCTAGGGTGAGGAAGACGTGTTCCATACCAATACCATTTCTCTCTGTATACATGCCAAAAGAACTTGATACACAATGGTGTAAATTCAGAGCAATAACATAGAATAAAAGTGTGAAGAATGTGGATCACAGCTCATACAGGCGCTAATGCCTTTCCTCATTACAATAAAAATGACATCTGCCGACTAATCTTGTAAGTCTCCAAATCAATGTTCCAAATTTGACTTCAGTGGGGCCTGGATTTCACCCCCATTTCTCTGCTCTGGTGTAATGTGTATGAACTCAGTTGTTAGACCTACTCTTATCCAACACATGACACAACAAAAGCAATGGAGTAAAAACATAATATTAAACAACACAGGAAATTATGTTCAAGGACAAGTCAAATAAGTTGCTTCTCTTATTTTCAGATGCTCATGTTATATTCATCATTGAATCCATGTTTCTGCATCTACTGCTCTTAAGTGAATGTTGGCTAACAGGTTTCTAACTGAGGCAAACTCTCCAAAGCAGAATTTTCCTTCATGTTTCATGATGATTTGTATATCACATGAAGAGATGATTGTCCATCTTTAAATTCATTTTACAAAGGGAAAAGCTCATTTTCTTTTGCCTTTAATGAAGAGACAAGTTGGCACATTAGGTTTTGTATATGCCTGGTGACTGCAAAACTCCAGTTTTTCACCTTGATTTTGGACATTTGAAATATGAGTCTTCTCCAATGGTCAGCAGTACACTGTAGGTTGATATAGTCTAGTTGGGCCAAAAGTCCATTAAAAATTAGTCATCCAATTTATATCCACAGAAACACCTGGGGCTTCTACTCTCTTCCAGGTGTAAAATGGTGGCCATTTTAGCTTTGTTTTTGTCTTTCAACCACACTGCAATCAGGATTTCAATGTCTTGTTTTTCTTCACTAGAGCAGAGGAGAGTTTTGATGAAAATGTAGTTCCTTGCAAATTATTTCATGCAGCAGTAGAATTTGTTACACTTTTCTGTCTTGGGATTTGCTCCATGCTGACCCATGTCAAGTGGCAACGTATGTATGTATGTATTTTTTCCAGAAGGGCCTGCCTGGGCTCATGTGGCAATTCTGTTGGTGCAGATGGTGATGTCTGCCATGCACATGGCAAAAATCAATCAGTACGCCTTTATGTTTCTCTCTTTTAAGTGCCTTAGCTTCACAGTCACTCCAGCTTCCTTCAGAAATCATTGTTACTGCAAATACGCAACTGAAAAATAGGGGAAAAACAGGCTTTCAGTTGAAGCGCTATTGCTTTACATCCTTGCCACTGAGTCCTTTTTTTTTTTTTTTTTTGCTTTCTCTAATTGTTTTGCATAACAGTAGTCATATGCTAGAGCCAAATGTGTACAATTGTTTTGCATAGCAGTAGTCATATGCTAGAGCCAAATGTGTACAATTGTAAGTAGACAGCATCGTCATGGCACTTGCAGTTTTCCCTAACCTTGGTATCAGGAATGCAACAAAGAATCTGCTCTCTGTGTGTATTTGTGGGTGGAAGGGGAAGGAATTAGTTTCTTCATTAAGATCACACCCTAAACATTCCATTCTAATTTCAGATCAGTAGAAGCCCATTGCTGCCTACCTGTACACACATGCAGAGTCACTGTCAAAATACAGAGTGAACTGTAGATGAGCTTAGAAGTGAGTCTTTAATCCATCCCCTTGTTTAAAATCACTAAACTAAATAATGTGCACAATTGGCACATTATGTGTATAAGATTCCCGGGAACTAAGGACTGTTTATATTTGCTTTATACACTGTTTTTTTAGTTTTTATGACTGACTGAATTAGTTTCAACAAATACTTCCCCAGAAGTCAGAAGTTAAAGCTTAATCTAGCAATGCCATCTAATCCATTCTGAGAGTCATTCCCCTGAGGATACATTTTAAAAATATTATTTAAGTTCTTCCTTCTTGCTATGCTATAGTAGCAAACACTAATTTAAATGCGGCCCAAACATTTCACATCATTTCCCCAATTTTAGAGGAGCTGGCAGAGGGTTGGGGTTTTTTCCCTCAAAAATCGTGTTCCAGGAAGAGAAGCTCTTTCTCAACCTTTGTTGTGAAGACGCAAGCAGCACTCTGCTGATTTTGTCTGAAAAGCAATGATTACCAGCAAAATTCTTCCCAGATTCATGCAATTGATCCCTACTTATTTTAACTATTTCCCTCATATATTTTACTGGGCATTCCAAGCATTAAAGGAAGAAAATCTACTGAAGCAATATTCAACTTGCAAATCTGAGAGCAGATGTAAATCATAAAAATATATTAAGCATATACATAAACATAGTTCTTATTTAATGCTCATGTGTTTGGGTCTTTGGATAATCAAATAATAGCATCTAGATTAAGATCTGCCTTAATAAAGGTTATTTCTGAATGGGCACTAATGCGCACTGGACCTGGCAGGCGATAGATATATTTCACAAAGAACTAATTTTAATTCTATGCTTCAGATGAGATATTTTTGCTATGGGCCTTTTCATTTGGTGGATAGACAGGAATACCATCATGGAAGGATTTGGGTATTGGTTTAAGATTTTCCCAGGGATACATTTTAACATCTGAAACTGAGTGAAATTGTATACAATATTATTTTATACAAGACAGACACGCAATTTAGTCAATTTTCCAAATTCTTATCAATTTTTTTCTGCAAGTCCTAGGTAATGTTTTGTAGAAAAGTATAATGTAGAATACATTTTCCATGCTTTACCTTTCACAACTCAAGGGTTACACCAAGCCTAAGGACTTGATGTCTTTGACTTTCCTTTGCACATTTCTCAGTTCATTATATCTCCTGCTAAACTTCCAATAGATTATGGACCCTTCCTGCCCTAATTTCAATGTCTCTCTGCAACTTTACTTGCTCAGAGTCTCTTTTATGCCATATAACAAAGCTGGCAGTGTACACAACTGCATTATATAGTTTTCACGTTAGGGCACTAAAATTCAGTGGAGAAAAGCTTACTCTTGAAACACTTAGCCCTTACAACTGCATTACTCACACTAGAGAACAAGGCTTGATCCAGTGGTGAGGGTGCTAGTCAGGAGACCCAGGTTCAATTCCCTACTCTGCCACACATGTCCTGTCTGACCTTGACATCTGTTAGCATGGAATCAGATGGCCGGCTGATGGGGGATATAAGTACCTAAGGATATGTCTACACTACCCCGCTAGTTTGAACTAGCGGGGTAATGTAGGCATACCGCACTTGCAAATGAAGCCCGGGATTTGAATTTCCCGGGCTTCATTTGCATAAGCCGGGCGCCGCCATTTTTAAATCCCGGCTAGTTCGAACCCCGTGCCGCGCGGCTACACGCGGCACGGAGTAGCTAGTTCGGATTAGGCTTCTAATCCGAACTAGCTACTCCATGCCGCGTGTAGCCGCGCGGCACGGGATTCGAACTAGCCGGGATTTTAAAATGGCGGCGCCCGGCTTATGCAAATGAAGCCCGGGAAATTCAAATCCCGGGCTTCATTTGCAAGTGCGGTATGCCTACATTACCCTCCTAGTTCGAATTAGGAGGGTAGTGTAGACATACCCTAACATATGTATAAGGAGCACAATGAGCATATGGCTAAGCATGGAGCAGGAGCTATCACCAGCCACTTTCTCCTTGCATTATTCCTCTGGTCCAATCTCCAGTAGCCTCTCTAGCTGCTCACCTGTCCACTAGTCTCATGGGAGACCAATGAGGTATACGGTATAGTGCAGTAGTTGGAGCTCAGAGCCTCATTTTGGTTTTGTCACCACCTATGCTACAGGTTGAGTGATATTGATAGCTAAATCAAAACCCCATATGAGGGGAAGCCATTGTTCAAACTAAATACAAGCACCCCATCCCATTCCGATCTACCAGTGTCACAGCATCAGGGACTTGTTTTAATACTAGTAAAATTTCAAATTAATTTGTGGGTTTAACAAAGAAAATGCAATGGTCTCTGTGTGTTTGTTACATCTCTCTCTCTCTCTCTCTCTTTTTTTTTTTTTTTGTAACTTACAAGTTGAAATCCTCACAGTCCCATTCAAGAAAATGATCATACAAAGTAAATTTTCAGTAGTTTTATTGAAAAATGCCTCTTTTGTTTCAGAAATAAATAATATAAGGCAGTGAAATTCACAATTTGCAGTTAAAATATAAAAGCAGCAATTCTATATCCATAGTCTTGCAAACAATTTCCAACTGCTTTTGATAACTAAGAAACATTATATTCTGAAAAAAATCCATACTAAATATACAACACAAACATGCAATTTCATCTCTGCAGGATTGACTGCAATTTGGCATAAATGTTAATGTGTCTACAAAGAAATTTAAAGCACTATGAAAGTATATCCAGTTGATACAATGATTTCAGCTACATTACTTAAGGCTTGTGGTTGTTAAAAGAGATGTATAAGAGCAATATATGCCCTGTAAGGTATAACTAAGGATAGAAGAAATTGACAATGATGTACAAGGAATTGATTTGGTTTTTGCTAGACAATATAGACTTATGATGTAACTTAACTGCAGACAGGCATTAAAAAGGAGGAAAACTGTAGAGCTAAAGCAGACAGCTCTTTGAAAAATTGCAGCAGCTCTGGTTTTTGGTGTTTTGTTTTGTTTTTGGTATTTTTTTGTGTAAAGAAAATGCAGCATTGTGATAACTGAATGCACACAAAGTTCTAAGCAGCCACTTTAAGCAAAAGTATTTTACAAGCATTTCAGAGCAAGAACGCAATCTATAGTTACACATGTTGCTATTTGCACATAAGCATGATACTTGTACAAGATGTGAGTGCATTTCTGATTTGAAAATACCAGATGGGAGCATTGGAGAGTATAAGCTACACCCACTCCATCTGTATCTGCATATGCAAGCATAGCACAAACAAAAACAAACAACCAAAAACATAAAACAAGACAGATTTTTTTTATGGTTTTGTTTTTGCTTTTCTTGGTAATGATCTTTTCCAGCGCATTTGTTCAAGGTAATCCTGGTGAATGCATTTCAACTTCATAGTCCTCATATTCGTCCTCTCTCCTTTCTGACTCCATTGGTACTATGTAGGGCTCACTTTCAGGTTGATAGGGTCCACTTTCAGGTACGTATGACTCTGGTTGAAAATAGTTGTCTGATTGAACATTATAGTTATTGCATGTCTTTGAATCCACAAATATAATGAAAGTTAGTTTGGCTACATAATGTTAGTTGAATCTTAATTTAATATAATAAATATATAAATTAGTAATTCACTGATTTTTTTCAGTTTGTTCATGAAATTTGGGGTGTGGGACAGGAGGGACAATCAAATTATATGAATATTAGATTTGGTTTTGAAAAACCTTCTAAAATCCAGCTATTTTAACACAAACATTGTGTGTTGTGGAATCTGTCTTAAGCTTTTGTACAAGGGCCCAATAAATTATTAAAAATTAAAATAAAGTAAAATAACATAATAATAGTATTTTACATCTACTTCAATAATCTAAAAATAGTGAATTTGATTTAAAAATTAGTTAATGGAGCAAATGGATTGAAGAACATATTTGACTGACATAGCAATTTTCTCTAGGGAGGTGGGAAAATAAATGTACACATAACTATCACCAGTGGCAATATGCAGTACATGTCATTTTCTGATGCTGTTCCTCGTTACAGACTGAGTTACAGCTGGTGCTGGAGGAACACCAAAGACTACAGCAAAACAGAAGAAAAATAATTATAAATCTTTAGTATTTAGAACTGCAATTACAAAACCCAACAAGATTACATATACAAAAAGGCACATGCCCTGGGTCATACATGTTGATCACAAGCAATAGACAGGTAGACTTCATACAGAGTCAAAGATGTTATTTTGGCACATAGCAAGCAGCAGCAGGCTTTAATGCAAAAGCTTAATGTAACGATGTTAACTGATTTTAGTGGACACAATCCCTTACAAATCATTTACAAGCCACAATTAGTTTACTATTTACACAAATCATTTCTTGTTTATCAGGTTAAATCTGTCTCTTACTATGGTGTTACATCTGCTGGTTAGTAATTTTACAAGCCTCCTGCAGCTTCTGATGATTTTGGAAGGTTAAAAATAGTTGGTTTTCTACTTTATTACTGAAATGCAACAGGTTTGATGATGAGTTGACATCACTGTCCTTATGTCATTCACAAATGTTGTTAGTATAAAGAAACTCCCCATTATATGAGGCCTACACGGTTCGATTTTAACCGTATCCGTGGTGAAATATCCATACAGACTCATTTCCTACTAAGCACGTGCGCAAACATCTCAGAAACAGGTTTTTCATGTATTCAAACTGTAAGCAGCACTGGAGACTTAGAAAATGTGTTAGCCGGAACCTGAAACAGGTCAAAGATGATGTTAGTTTTTAAATAGTCAGACTGCTGTGCAAAAAATATACTGTCATCCAACTAAAATACACAATGGTTAAGTCATACACGTATATCTATATATGTATACATAGATGTTCACCAGGAAGGATAGCACTGCTGCACAATGGGTACAATTTTAGCTATTTTTAATTTAGACAGGAATCTTGGATTAGGTCTGTGCAAGCACCTTGCTTTTTACACCCAATAGTACCAAGTGTATACACATATATATATATATTCTCATGTATACATGCACAGTATGCTAGTGGCAAACCATATCCAACATCAGTATCACATACACTCATTGTAAAACGCTACAGTGCACACAAATGAATTGGTTAACAATACTATGGGCGTGGACTTTCTTTGTGAAAATTGTCCTGCAGGAGCCTAGGTATACAATATATTTGTGTGTTCATTCGTCAGAAATTGATGAGCACTGTCATCCATGATTTGACTCCCTGTGACAGCCCAGTGTTTGGAGGCTAACGTGACTCAGGGCTGATCAGAAACTCATGGGATTGAACGTAGGGGAAATTGTAGGCAAGTGGAGTTTTTCAATTGTTTGCACTGTAACAGAGAATGGTTTTTGTTTGTGGAAAATTTTGATATCAGGTATTAATTTTGTATAAATAATCCTGATGTTGATCAAAAACAAACACGAACTGCCAACCAGAGCGTTCTTTTTACTTTTCAAGAGAAACATGGAGTATTCAACCTTGTTCTGAAGAAGAATGGAGGGAGGGAGAGGAGAAGAAGAAGAAAATGGTCATTTAAATCCTAAGAGCAAAATAATAATCTACTATCCTTCTATGTATTAAAAACCAGTTATATGTATAATTTAAGCACTTCCTTTCTACAGCTAAACACATTTCAAATCAATGTGAGACAAGTTAGCATAACATTCTGAACAGCTGCTCTTAGACCTGTCTGTGTTAAAAGGACTGAACCATTCTACGATGTAATATTACAACTAAGCCATTTCAGTACCATCTGCTTCTGAAATGATTCAGTAAGTCCATGCTAGCAGGCCTGTCTTGCATAAAACAGCTCAGCATCTGTGAAGGCTAATTAAAATTACTACTGTTTAAGTTGTCAGTAACCTACCTGGGAATCCTTGACCATTGTAAGCGATGCTAGCACACTGGGATGAATCACAATATCCAGGTGGGCCAGGTGGACCTCGAATACCCCCATTTCCAGGACGACCTGGTGGCCCAGGTGGCCCTCGTGAACCTGTAGAACCTGGTGGGCCAGTTCGAGATTCTCCTGGTGGACCTAATTTTAGAATTTAAAGGAGGATAATTGGTAAGGCATCAACCTGTCATAAAACACTGGCATCTAGACTATGAACAAGTCTTTGGTAAGAAAACTTTGACATTTGGCTTCCATAGGTGGTCAATGAAACAATCAAAGAAAACCCAAATGTGACTCATCATTAGTTGCTTTCCTGCATGTGGCTAATTTAAGGTCTTTATTCACATAAACTGATTTGGCAAGGTTTGACCCACACTAAAGCATCAATGAATTCTCTGGTTTATTTCCATTCTGTGTAAGATATGAAGATCTCAGGGGAAACTACTACATTAGACAAGCACATTGGATTTCAATTAAAACATAGTAGTGGATTAAAAGTCTGCTACCCTGCAACCCTAGAATAGATGAGGTAATGTTTTCTTTGGACCAGGCTGTATTATGGTTAACAGAAATGTAGAGTTTCAACCAACTGGGGTTAGAATTTGTTGCAAGCGTCTTATGGATCTTATAATGAAAAAATCATGTTTAAACAAGGAAATTAAAGGCAGAAACAATAAAAGAAGCCTGACCATTTCTGCCAAGACATCAGTAAATGATCAGTGAAAAAAATCAAATGAAACAAAGAAAGGCTCATATTTTGTACTAGTAACTCTATGCTTCACACTTAAACGACATCAGGATAACCACAAACATGACCCAAATATGGCATTAGACATTCCAAATGGATCAGGTGATATTTTGTTCTATCAAATACTAAAAAAAAAGTGATAACATGTCCATTTTGGAAGGTGGAAATCAGCCTCTCATTACTGAGTTCAATTGATATTTTCAACAAAAATATTTTCCCTTACAAAAGGCCAAAAGAATAAATTATATGATAAAGCCAACATTCTACTAGCCATGTCTACACCAATATTTCTACTTCCAGTGTTTGGCACTTTCAGAATGTTTTGTTTTGTTTCCAATACATGTCAAAATGTACAGTGCACTGGGTAACATATGCTTATTTCCTATAATGAGCAATTAAGCAATATGACTTTCTAGGAAGCCTTTTATATCTACTGTTCTGTAAGCTGCTGTAAATTAAAAACAGAAAAATTACCAGGTGGTCCAGGCAAACCTCGTGGTCCTTGTGATCCAATACCTCTTTCACCTTTCTCTCCTGGCAGTCCTAAAGAACCCAAAGGAAATAAACTCCATAAAAACATACAACAACAACAAAACATGTCAGAAGACACTATTTTTTCATGCTCTATCATTGATTACACTCCAAATAGTGTGTTGTTTTATATTTCTGGTCTAGGCAGTATTAATTTGGATAAGGAAAATATTTTAAGGAAACAAACATCTCAATCTGAAAGATAAGATTTTTAAATGTAGTGTACCACGGTAACCTAGAGTGAAGACACTGTGTTAAAATATAGGGACATATTTGAGGCACTGGGATCTGACAGAAGTTCATTCCACATATCTACCGACATGAGTTAAGGCATACATGCTTGGAACAATTCTTTTACAAATACACTTTATGCATTCTTAGAAATCTAATGAAATAGCTTAAGTGAATAGCTGGATTCAGAACTTTATTATTTGCTTTTAAATGGTAAATACTTATAGTAAAATCTATGTTTTAAAAATCTAGGATAGACAACACAACACTACATCCGTATTCTGAAGTGTAACAGCCAGAACAAATGAGGGCCAGATTCATTAGTTACCACCAGGCCCGCCTATGCTACAACCCAGAATTAACCAGCCATTACTAAGACTTAACCAGCAACTTAAGCTGATTTTATGCCTCAGCAGAACTGTTCAAAGCACCTGAAGTGCACTGGCACATCTGGTCATGTACTTCCCATATACTTACAACTCTGCTTCATCTGAGACACACAACTACAGTATCACTAAGCTACAGTTCACCCCACATTGTTGTTAACTAATCTGATTTTCCCCTTTCTCAGATGCCTATTTAGAAAAGTAGCCTGTCAAGATGCCAGAAACAGCTTTGAGAAAAGAATGTTCCTTGTTCTAAGATATCTTGATAACATTGATATATTTTCTTGAGATAGAGCTTAGACTCTGCAGTGGCAGGTGTTCCATAAATACCACCCAGAGAAAGAAACATTGTAGATTCAAATCTCTGTAATTTTAGATCTTGTCTTCAGACACTGAATATTCCACTGTACCAATATCAAAACAGCAATTCTGCTGGCTATGGAGAACTATGTGCTTCATGGTCTTTCTGCATGGTGCAGCTGCATTGAATTCCTCTAAGAGCTTTTGAATATGGTCATACATATGCTCTTTGGGCAGGCACTACTCACCTCTTTCCCCAGATGGTCCCTGCATACCAGGAGTCCCTGGGAATCCAGGTCTTCCTCCAGGTCCAGGTTCTCCTCTTGCCCCAGCGCTCCCTGGTGGCCCTGGTGGTCCTGCAGGTCCTGGTTGATTGCGATTTGCATAGTAATCATTCGGGATTTGATTCAGCATGTGATTGAACCGGTTCATTTGGCCTTTAAAGAGAAAGAAAGGGTTTTTAATTGCTTTTCATTAACATCCTTCTCACACACATGTACATACACACCACTCACTGTCCAAACAGTGGAGAATTGGAACACATGCACAGATAAGATGAATGCAAGATACAACTGTATAGAATACATGGGGGGAAGGGAAATCCTGGCAGCAGACTTGTAAATAAAACTTTACAGCCTCTGAAAGTGTCAAGTGAAAAAGGAGTTTTGGATTACAACAGCCTATTTGGTGGAGCTCTGACAAAGGACTCTTTCCTAGGCTGTAAGGCAGCAAAGGTTAATTCCAAAAGATTGAAATGCAGTTCAAGCAGTAGCACAGAGTGGTAGGGGGCTCCTCGGGACTAGGGCCAGAGTGCAATGGCTGCCGGCCCCACCCCCAGGGACTATAGAATAGTTGAATAACTGATAAGAATTCCTGAGATTAATCGACTATTCAATTAACAGATATTTAACCTCCCTACTGGGATCTAAGCAGCACATGCTTACTATCTCTCCATAAATAACAAGGTACAAATTTTGCTTTGTTGTCTTTGGGGGCCCTTCCTGACCGCTCTGTGGAAGGGAGAGAGATGATCTGAAGAAGCTGTGCAGGGGGTTGAACTTCCTGTGGAGTGCAAAGCTGCACTATAGGGATGCCCCCTGTAGGAGCTTAGAGGATTCCCCACTGCCTGAATCCTCCCCCTGGCTGGAGGTAGGTGCACTTTAGGACTAGAGTACTGTGTCAATGTTGAGGCTGAAGTAAATTTAAAAGAAATTAAAATATTGTTTTGGGGGCCTGAATTTTGGGGCTTACCTAGTGCAAATACTCCTTCTCTTGCATAACAGAATTTGTCCTGTGTGCATCACATGCCCCGGAAGCATGTGCCAATACACTTTGATCCTAATATCTGTAATCAGTGTTCCCTGTAAGATGAGCACTTGGGTGGCCACCCAGGAGAGAGACTCCAATGCCACTCAGCTGATTAGCACAGCACCCACTCAATATGTGTTTCTACTACTGGTGCACATCTGCACATGACTCGGTGCCCATAGCAAAATGTATTCCTTACATGGATGGGAAAAATTAAGAGGAAACACTGCGTGTAATGCTCCTTCCATTCTAGCCTTCCATCTCGCAGAGGTGAGACCTGGTTTATACCAAAATGTTTTGTGGTTTTATGACATGGACAGTACTAAATCAAGGACTTCGCTGACTACACAAAATCATTCCCTTTGTGGCATGTGCAAATTTGAATATGGATCTCTGGGGAAGAACAGATTAGTTCATTAACAAGTTAGCCCTTCAAATTCAGGAGCCAGTTTGGTCTTGTACTTTCCTTCCATCAGGTAAATGGCACAGAAGATAGCAATAAATACACTGGCTCCTGTTATGCTTCACAGTCAGAATCCTTTCATCTCAAATATACATCACTTTTGATTTTTCATAAGGGCTCATCTAGATTACACTAAAGTGTCGACAGAGGAGATGCAAATTCCACCGGAATGGGCATATCCTTTTTCAACACTTTAGCGTAGTCTAGATGAGCCCTAAATGAGCTACTAAATTAGCCACGGAGAAAACAGAATGAGGAAAAAGCACAGCATTGTTTACCATTTATCAGTTGTTCACAGACTTGTCTTGCAACTGCTCGCATCATGTTCTGAGAAGCAATATCTCCCTTAATAATTAAAACAAGTATATTAGTACATAGTGCTTTTAAAAAGCTAGTATTTATTATATTACAATAAGTAATAAATAAAATAATTTAAAGTAATACTTACTCTGTCACCTTTTTCTCCTTTAATTCCAGGTGGACCCTAAAACAAGTTAATTTCAATTATTATTTAATGCATCTGCATGTACTGCAGCTTATTGTATAGGAACAAAGAAACATAAAGAGATTAACGAAAATGGAAGAAAGAAAGGAGAAAAACCAAACAGTTCCCTAGGGAGTATGCTCTGTTAGTGCTGTCTGGTGTATATATATTTCACTGACAGGTGCTTTAGATGGATTCAATAAAGCAACTGTTCTATAAACCCATCCAGCTGTATCCTTACATGCACCTGCAATCATGCTGCGCCTGCAATTTTTCAGCAGCAAATCAGATAGATCAGACATTTCGATGGATATATTTGTATCTACAGTTATTTGCAGATGCAAAATTGCACCCAAAAAAAGAGGCTGCTGTTTTATTTTAAAAAGGATACCTGTTGAAAGCTTTCTTGTAAATTATGTCTCTATTTAAATAATACATTATTTACTCACAAATTGTATCATATCTTCCACACACTATATTTACTGTGTAATACATGAGTATTAGCTCTCCTTAAATCAGAAAAAAATGATCTATTCTGATTCCAATCACTGACTCTCATACTTTTCTCAAAATTAAAAGCCTTCATTTTCTACGCTTTTTAGATGCTTTCTTAAATATAAAAGAGTAACATTTTTTTCTTCAAATGTGAGAGCACGTCTATACAGCAGGGAAAATTTGAATTAAACTACACAACTTCAGCTACGTCAATTGCATAGCTGAAGTCAAAATAGCTTAATTCAGTTTTTGACGCTGTCTACCCAGCAGGAAGTCGAAGGGGAACACTCTTCCTCTGACTTCTCTTACTCCTCATAAAATAAAGCTTACAGGAATCAGAGTAAGAAGTCCTCCACTTCAACATTATTTCAAAATCATGACTTGCTGTGTAGATACGTGTTTTGTTATTTCAAAATGTCAGTTATTCCAAAATAACGCTGCTGTGTAGACATATCCTTACTGACGTAAAGCAACATCTTACTTCATTTTCCAATTTCTCTCTATCCAAAACAAACCTGCTATTACCTCACTTTTATTATAAATAGCTTATAGCAGAAATACAACCTCATGAAACTCAGTTGTAGAAAATGTTAGATATGCTAAAGAAAAAGGTCACATTCATGGTTAACTTCACTACTGTTTTTATCTTATGTCTCATTCTGGGTCTTTGTCTTGTATGGGGCCTGATATAGCAGTCCTTTCACAGAAAAGTCTGGTTTACTTCTGTGGGAGATGTGTCTGGGAAAAAGCTTCAGGATTAAGTTATTTTGACTATATTTAGACCCTGGAAGTGTTATTCTTGAAAAGGTTGCTACTCTTTCTGCACAATGCTGGAACTGGATTCTCTTTGAACTTATGTCAGGTTCCAGAAGAGAATGGGCAAAGCAGCCATTTGGGCATATGATTGAACAGGCCCAGTCAGATTCTGTAAAGGGCCCGAGGGAAAAAGTCGGACTAAGCCCAGAGAAACCAAGGGATCATGACACCGAAGACATGCTGTAAGGCTATGTTCCAAACAGGGCACCTCTGAAGACAGGGCCATATGTCTCATTCAGTCTTGTGGCACATATTATGCTACTGTTCATATGTAAATAGTAATTTCAATCTGAAATAATGCCCTGCCTCCTTCATTAACAAACTAAATTGAGACCAAAAACTGCACATCCAGGAAGGGTAGCTATCTCCTCCAAACCCAGAAGTCAGAAAGTGTTATAGACAGGAGTTATAGAAGATTGGGGAAAGATGGCTTTTAGTACCTACTATGTTTTCAATTACATCTCCCTTACTAGCTGCTGAATGCTTCTAAACTTACAATATACTACAATTACCTGTGGCAGTGTGAGCTTGAGCTGTCACCATAATTATTTTGATTTGTCAAGAGCTATAATTCTTTCTCTGTCAGCATTTTCTCATTTGTATTTGCATTTCATGGTGGTTTGGTTTTGGTGCTGGCATTGTTTTTTCAAGAAGCCAACAGGAATGACTGATTATCCACTTGTAAAAACAAATGTTTGAATTTCCACAATCACATAAAATACACTCTAGGAACATTTTCAAAGAATACAATTTAGAAGATATACACACATACATTTGAAAATTAAATTTTGTGTGTGCATCTGCCATGTAATGTTTTGAGACTTTAGCCTTTTGTTTGCATTCCACTGTTAGCAAAAAGAAGGGCCAAGGAAGCACATGACACAATTTCCTGGGAAAATGCAATTATGATGCTTGTATGTTAGATTTTGCAGATTTTCACACTAGATAACAATGACCTCATAAGGATGTTTATAACTGGTTTTAGTTCATCTCACATAATTAGGGCCATAAGCACATGCTCGTTTCAAATAGGCCAAAAATCAGACACGTGATCATTTTAACCATTAGTTTGCTCTCTGAGAAATCTAAATATCTGTTGCCTTTCAAAGCTTTTTAAAATTTTTTTAAATGTATCCCTAGATATCAAAAAGAAAAAGCTTGCTTGACCCATGTTTTAGCTTGAGCAATGCACTTTAATCCAAACTGTAAAAAACTGCCCAATAGATTTTTGAGATTTTCAAAACCACTTTGCTGTCCCATATGAAGAGAGGTTAAAGCAACTGGGACTTTTCAGTTTAGAAAAGAGGAGACTGAGGGGGGATATGATAGAGTTATATAAAATCATGAGTGGAGTGGAGCGGGCGGATAAAGAAAAGTTATTTATTAGTTCCCATAATAGAAGAACTAGAGGACACCAAATTAAATTAATGGGTAGCAGGTTTAAAACTAATAAAAGAAAGTTCTTCTTCACACAGTGTGTAGTCAATCTGTGGAACTCCTTGCCAGAGGAAGCTGTGAAGGCTAGGACTATAACAGAGTTTAAAGAGAAGCTAGATAATTTCATGAAGGTTAGGTCCATAAAAGGCCAGGGGATAGAAATGGTGTCCCTGGCCTCTGTTTGTCAAAGGCTGGAGAAGGATGGCAGGAGACAAATCGCTTGATCATTGTCTTCAGTCCACCCTCTCTGGGGCACCTTGTGCTGGCCACTGTCTGCAGACAGGCTACTGGGCTAGATGGACCTTTGGTCTGACCCAGTACGGCCGTTCTTATGTCACAGAAGCCAAAGGCCATATCACCGGTGGAAACAGAATCCTGGCCAACACTCAGTGTTTTCGAAATTCTCACTTCTGTTTGTCTCATGAGCAGACTGCAAATTTTGCCCAAACATGCATGCATCTGACAAAGTGGGTCTTTGCCCACAAAAGCTTATGCTCCAATAAATCTGTTAGTCTATAAGGTGCCACAGGACTCTTCGTTGCTTTTGCAGATTCAGACTAACACAGCTACCCCTCTGATACTTGACACTGTAACAAATCATTCCACTGAAGAGAACTGGCTACAATTTGAATGCAATAGCAGTGTTTCATAAACTTCTTTTGCGATCATAAGGCTTCAAATTAAGGAGCTTGAATGGACATGATTCATAGCTGTTGGAGCATGTCATGCCTATAATTTGCAAACTAATAATTCCTTAATAATATGCACACAACGCATATAATCAAAGATTCAGAGATTAAAATTTACCTAAGAAAACACTGAGGCATCATTGCTTACCTGTCAAACGTTAACATAATACAGTAATTACTCATTTAACACATGCCCACTTAACACATTTTCTCAGTAGCATGATTGTTTTTTAGGAAACATTTTTTAAATAACATGAAAATAATCAAGTGGCGGACTACTTCGCGCGGCTGTATAAGTTGGTGAAAACAGTGGTAATACGCATGAGCAGATGAATACTCATGGTCACAGCGCTCCTCCGCTCACTCACGTGTTTATCTTTGTGTTTTAACAAACCGCGGCGACTTGCATTGCTAGTTATCTTGTGTTGCTAGACATCTAATGTTGACGTTGATGACCTAGCACCAACAAAAAATTGACTTTGCCACCACCACCTGAAATGCAATCCCCACCTTTTCCATTATTTTTAACCCCTCATGGCATGTTGTCGGTTAGCACGAACATTTTCAGAAACGCATCTATCGTGTTAAATGAGGAATTACTGTAGCTATGAAGCAGGAAGAGTTTGACTCCTGGTAATGCAGAGAATGTGAAAAACCTGCTAGGGTACATCTCCACTGTAACACTATTTCCAAATAACTAGCGCTATTCCGAAATAACTTAGTCCGTGTCTACACAGCACGCAGTTATTTCGAAACAGTGTAAAAGTACTGTCAAGCTGGAGGACTTCTTACTGTGATTCCTGTAACCATCATTGTACGAGGAATAAGGAATGCTGGAGGAAGAGTGTTCTCTTTCAAAATTAGTACGGTGTAGATGCTCCCTATTTCGAAATAAGATTGACGTAGCTCAATTTGCACAGCTTATTTTCAGTTAAGCCCTGCAGTGTAGACGTACTCTTAGATACAAAACCATCTCTCCCATCTCTCTCATGAATCTGTCGCACTTCTTTCATGAATAATCAATAGCACTATTATGGCATTTTCTACTCCAATAAGTAGTTAGGGAAATCGAGAGCAATATACAAAGCAACTTCATCTTAGAGTGGGAATGACTGTAGCCCAGTGCCTAAAGTATCCACCAGAGTGTAGTCCAGTCCAGTCTCTTGTGCCAGTTACTTTTTCATTACTTAGCTACAGTGGAACAGCATCAGCAGGAGAGACTGTGAGAGCCCTCACATAAAAGTGTCCCACAGCTCACTAGATGGAGCACTCAACTAAGAGGTGGAAGATCCCTGTTCAAATCCTCTCTGCCATTGTGGGGAGAGGGAGAATTAAATCAGTGTCTCCCAGATCAGTAGACTAGTGGGTTAGAAGTGATTGGGTTGGCTTCTCCTCCTCTCATGACTATTCTGTGCGGAGCAAAGCAGAGGCCTAACTCATTCCCACAAGAAGCTGCTAAGATGCCCAAGTTGCCTCACTTCAGGGTCTCATTCATGAACTGTAAGAATACATAGGTCCCTCCCTCCACTTGGACTTAGATGCCTTTCTCTGAGAGGCACAGGTCATAGCACACACCCTTCTGGCTAGTTTAGGAGGCTCTCACCTAGCATGGTTGCTTTTGTGGATCACAATTTAAGGAGCCTATGTCTCCATTCATGCTATGGGGACCTGAGGCACCTAATTTGGCTTTGTGGATCACAGTGTTGCCCCTGTGACTTTCTAGGTGCCTACAAATTAGGCACTATGACATTCAGTGTTGCCACACCTAACTCCCTTTATGAATCACACATGGAATGCATTACAAATCTTTTTATTCAATGAATTTAGAGTCTTTTCCTGCTTGTGAATTGTCAGCATGTTGGTATTTTATGGAAATGAGTATATTGATTGTTGAATATATGTTGGAAAATATTTCTTGGTCTGTAACTTTCTTAATAGATTGAGAAGTGCATATATTCAAAGTTTAAGCTGCTTTGATGGGAAAGAAAGTCTCATTGTATGTCTCGTTTCCCTGACTAAATGGATGCAAATATGAATTAAAAAGTTATTTTGGTCTATCATCCTATCCCACTTTCTGACTGTACTCTTTAATATTTTCTTAAAATTAACTGTTCCATAGAACTCATTTATTGGCATGTTTGCACAGCATGAACACAAAAAAGAGGGCAACCAATTGAAGCAAACTTCAAATGCTGACATGCTACATGCTATTTGTGGCAATATTTTTGCAGTCTACTGGCAAACAAACAAAAATTCTCAAAGCTGACCTCCGACAAAAGCCATGTTAGGTGGTTAAAAAGCCTTTTTAAAGGGCATATTACATAAATGGTTTATAAGCAACAACCTTTCCATTGACTTTATTGGGGAGTGTTGCTCTAATACAAAAGGCATGATATTCCTCAAGAATACAGTAAGATTTCTATAGCTGAGAAACATCAAAAACATTCACCTCTCCAATGCAAATCAATCCTTTCTCTCCTTCCCATTAATTAGTAACTGTGCTAGTCAACTTTCAAAACTTCACTGAAGCTTAATGGGCTTGACAACTGCAACCTCACAAAAGAAATACTCTGATTTTGCTTTGTAAATGTTGCAAAGGGTTGTCCTTAATACAGCTGAATACTGATCACAGTCATGCTTAGACACTAAGCTAATTTTTGCATTGGGATGTTAGAGAATCCTACCAGTTCAACAACACAATTGCCTCTTCAGTTATGAGTGAAGCATTGTCTATTTGTGTCCTCTTCCTACTTAGCAACATTCTGTTTAGAGTTCACTTTATTTTCTTTTAACACACAAAAATGTGCACTTCAGCCAACTGTTTGCCAGAATGTTGAGAGAAAGCGGCTGCTGCCACCAGTCTAGTTTGTTGACATCCTGTGATGAGGAGCCGCTTGGGGTGAGTGGGAGGAAATGTTAGCTGTTGTTTTATCTGCGATTCTTCTGAGCCGTGGGGTGAAGGCTGGAATTGTGGCAAGATTCTGCAGCTGAGAAAGGATAAGCCAAGAAATTGGAGCTATCTTTACTGTAAATAACAATGGGACCCAAATGCTCTCCCGAGAAGATCTTCTCCTATTCTTGCGTGTCTCCTCAGGACCATTCTCTCCTTCATGAGGTCCCATCTGGGATCTCTGCCCAGAAGGGGAAAGTAAGTAGTCAGAGCTCCATCACACATACTGTGCAATCCTCCTTTAAAGAGGGTCCCAGAGCTAGCACAGCATGCTAAGTTGCTAGAAGCATCTCTCCATTGGATTTCTTAATTGTTAACAGTTAACAGATGACATAGTGCTATTATTCTTTTCTTCTGATTCAACCCTATTGTCTGTTACTGATATAAAATCCCATTTTTCTTTTCCTTTGGGAGTAGCACATTATCAAGGTGGAACTTTGAAGAGCTATAAAAACTCAATGCTTCAGAGAACAGCTTGATTTAGTACTAATGTTAATCTGCTAAGGAACTTCTGTTATCCACTCAAATTTGTAATGTTTGCAAGAGCTGCAATAATTCATTTATTAGCTAAAACTGAGGTTACTATATTATAATCCTGATGTCTACACTCATGATCAATATGTAGGAAGCCTGAGATCTCCATATAATTTGCATTTAACTTTATATACTTTTGGCATCAGGTCATAATATTAGATTCTATTTGCATCTTTTTTAGTAAAGGCCCAGTCTCCTGCTACCCATATTTACACTAAGCTTACATTTACACTGCAACACTATTTCAAAATAACTAGCCCTATTCCGAAATAACCTAGTCCGCATATACACAGCAGGCAGTTATTTCAAAATAGTGTCAAAATGCTGTCAAGCTGGAGGACTTCTTACTCTGACCCCTGTAACCCTCACTGTATGAGGAATAAGGGAAGTTGGAGGAAGAGTGCTCTCTTTCGAAATAAGTGCTGTGTAGATGCTCCCTATTTCTAAATAAGATATACAATTGACATAGCTCAATTTATGTAGCTTACTTCAATTTAAGCTCTGCTGTGCAGATGCACGTTAAGTGGTATCTAACACCACATACCACTCAACATGAGCAAAAATGACAAGATAAGAGTCCTAAGAGGTTATTTGTTCCTTGAGTTCAGCAACAGCAGCAGGCAGGTGATCAGTTTTCTCATGGACCTGCAGTTACAAATACAAGGCAGGCCTGGACTTCATTTCAGATCTCAGCAGGCTGTACATGGCTCTTGGGCTGCACCTTTGGCACTTCTAATGCAAAACATAAACTTCAATGTCGAACTCCCATCTACCATGAGTCTCACAAAACATCTGCACAAAGCATGAG